CTGCAACAACAACAGCACTCTCGGTCCTCTACTCAGGGTACTGCTTTCGGTCTATTTGCTTCACTTGAACGCTTCTCTAATAATGTGTGCGTCCTGGTACGCAAAAATATGGGTCTCCACACTGCTGTACTGTCCCCAAAGTCAATGGTAATGGTACGCTTTAGCACAGCTCTCGATACTGTACTATCCCAATAATACGCTTTAGTACAGCCCTCGATACTGTACTATCCCAATAGTACTATCCCAATAGTACGCTTCAGTCAGCTCTCGATACTGTACTATCCCAATGTAGTACACTTTAGTACAGCCCTCGACACTGTCTGTACTATATAACCAATAAATAGTAGGCTTTGTACACAGCTCTGCGTACTGTACTAAAATCAACAAAAAGGTTTATTAGTACAGCTCTTCGTACTGTTGTTATGGTATTTGGACCCTTGGACTAAGATACCATCTGGGCGGGTGTATCTTTCAGGAATTACCCCGACCACCTGCCCAGGTTCCTAGTATTCCGACTTTATGTGGAGGTCAAGATATGGAGATTCAGGGAGCACAGATACACGTACGTACATAAAGAGTAGGATCTGAGAGGATATATATATATGTGATAATAGATTCGGCACGGCTAAACACCCCACCGGTGGGGAAATTTCTTAACCACCCCACCGGTGGGGTGGTTAAGGCATAAACACCCCACCGGCTGTATCTCGCTCTACAAGACTCCAATCAGCTCAGGACTTCCACGGGTGTGCTGCTGCGTTGCAGGGCTATCATTGGACCCATCGTGAGGCCGAAACGGTACAGTTTTCGTGGTGCCACGGTTGGTGGGGCATACCGTATATGACACAAGATAACACACCCCCTGGGCCGATTTTCAAAGCTCGATTTCTCAACAGCAGGAAGAGTCACAGCGCCGAAAACGGCGGCGTTGGAACCGTCTCGTCGAGAGGTTTTCGAAAATGTATTGTTTCGTTTATGCATCCTCTTCGTCGTGGAGTAATCGAGCTTTGAAAATCGGTCCGGGGGGTGTGTTATCTTGTGTCATATACGGTATACCGCCGCTACCCCACTGGTGGGGTCGATAACGTTATTGACCCCACCAGCTGGATCTCCCTCTACAAGGCTCCAATCGATACACAACCACCTGTAGGAGTGTGTGGTCGATGCACGCACAGCGCACAGCAGCGGGCAGCACCTGGGGCGCCGAACAGGTCAAGAAATCCCGCCGCATGACGCCAAACACCCGAAGTGGGTAGCGAACACTGCCTTCTATTCTCTTGCAGGCAGACTTCCCCACTGCCGTATGTAGCCCTACAAGACTCCAATTAACACAAGACATGTTCGAATGTATTGCTGCTTTGCAGGGCTATCGTGGGATCCATGGTGAGGTCGAACGCTAAAGGTTTGGTGGTGCCACGGCCGGTGGGGCAAACAACGCAATGCATAGTGTATGCCCCACCGGTGGGGTGGATAAGGTTAAACACCCCACCAGCGGCATCTCGCCGTACAAGACTCTAATCGAAGAACAAGCGCCATAGTTAGAGGGTGCTGTTCATGCACACACCGCGTACATCACACAGTACACAGCACACAGCACACAGCACACCGCACACAGCAGCTCTGCACCACTGCACCACTGCAGCAGACGCGGGGGGGAACAAGTCAACAAATCCCTCCGCACAGGGAAATCTTGCCTTCCTCACTAATGTACAGTAGAATATCCACTGCTGTTGTTTGAGGTTCACACATGGATGCATTTCGTATCCGTTCCGTATATTGTTGCTGTTCCTTGCACGCACCATGCATTGGAAACACCATGCCCGTTAGTCGGCGCTCTCTTTCATGTGTGACGACGTGATATACTCTTAGTGTACTGGAGCCGCGATGCATACTAGACTACATCAAGTACGTAAATACGTCCATCATCGCCGCGCTGCAAGTAGCGATGCAAAAGTAGACGGAGCGCAAGCAGGAAGGTTGTTGCCCACAGGTTAAACCCGTTGGAACCTCCAGTTGCGGTCATGAGCGTTCGGTTGTGTCTCGCCACACGAAAACAAGTAGTTCATGACGGATTGTAAGCCAGCCGCAGCCAAGGCATGGCTCCCTGCTGTCCCCGATTTTTGGTGTCTCGTATATTCCAGGAACCCTCTTTCGTTACGCCGATTTCGTTACCCCCCGGAACACGGACATTCTAATATGCCCCCCAACTCTCTGAAAAGGACACGCGGGGAATACCGTGGAAATCGTGTGGATCAAATTCCAGTGCCGTTCTGCTCCGCGTATTTACTCCTCTTCGTCAACCGGCGCCCGTTGTTGAAATCCCTTATCCTCTTGGTTTGACGAGACTTTCCTTGCTGCCCCTCCGAGTTTCCGGGTTCCTCTTTGGCCCCCGAGCGATGCTGAAGAGGTTGCCTTCTACCGTCCTTTTTCGGCCTCCCCTTCTTGGGCGCCTCTCCAGGATTTTGAACGCCTGTGCCTCCCGCGGACGAGTTGAGAAGATACCGGAGAAAGTCCCCAACCTTGTCCTGGACGGACAGCGCTTGATGCAGGGGCACGGACCTCATTATATCTCCTACAAGCTACTTGCTCTTCGCCATCAGATGGGCGTAGACTCGACGCTTGTCGGAAGCGCTTCTATCCTGCGCGGCGCGCCCCGGTTCAGCAGGATGTATGCCATCCACCGCTTCATCGCATGTCGGTCCCCAGTAGTTCTCGTCGCTGCCTTCGTCATGGCCGTCCCGCCCTACGCCGTGGCCTGACGACGACAGCGCCGATGAGATGCTCCACGGCGAATCTTTGCCATCTTCTCTTCGACGCCAACGGTTGTGGATACATGCGCCGTTGAAGGTATGGGTGAAGGACATCTCGTCGCTTTCGCCAGTTCTCCCGATAAGGTTGACAAGCACCGCAAAGTAGTGCCTACAAGGCAGTCCGCGCCGCAATAGCTGTAAACAGGAACATAAGTGGAAGTTGTCAGGTCCGAACACCACGAGGGGGCCAGGTCTGTTCGCCGTCCACTTGTATCGAACGGCCACGACCAGTTCGATAGGTATATCCGCAATTAAATCCAAGAAGGCTGACAGCGACGTACGCGCCCACATAGTGTTGTCCACCGCAGCTTCGCCGGCTAACTGGTCTCCCTCGAGATCGGTATCAGGTGGTGCGACCTGAAGAATGTTGAGCTTGAGGCGCAATGAGCGAATCTTGGCGAGGTCGTGCTCATGGAGAGGCAGCGGGTCCCCATTCTCGTCCTCACGACCTGAATTCACCAACTCGGTGTCATACGACTGCGCTTCGTCGACCTGCGCTCTGACCTCCTGCGACAGAATGAGGTTCGACAGTACGAAGATGTGTTGGATGGGGTTTCAGTTCGACTGGATGGTGTCTGCTTGTGCTTAAGCTTGGTAGACCACGGACACACCATCGCACGAATTCAACAGCGGCAACGATCCATATTCCAAAACACGACTCACGTGCTGGCAGTACTGACTAGCACCACAGGCTAAGAGCTCCTGCTTCACGGGTCTGAAGAAATTCTCCACGTGGGTATCCCGGAAGGCCACGCCAGCGGGAAGGGGGGGTGTCGCTAACCTGTATGCATGGCATCAAACGCAGTGTTACATAATGCTTAACGGCGGGAGAAATCCGCACACAATGTCGATCCGCCACCAGTGCGTGTAGCTACAGGTAGAGACAAACTCGCGTGTTGTGGAGCACATCGGAATACCCCATAAGTCGAAGCGCGCGGATACCACCTGCTGCCATGGGTGACGAAAACAGACAAACTCACCTCACAGTCTATGGCAATCATCTTGCTGAGACGGTGCAGGCGATCCCAAAGAGCGCACAGAGATAGCTTCTTGTCGACGCCCGAGCGTTTCGCCACCCCGAATAAACCTTCCGTGCGCTGAGTAGCAACCATGCCTAGCGTGAGGACAGTGGGCCGGCAGCAGAACGCCCACTTGGTCTTGTTCCTACGACGGTTTACGACGCGGGTACCAGAGTGAATTAGTGAATATCGAGTGTAAAGACGCGGCATCGATCGCTCAAGCCAGGGCATAATGACAGCATTACGGCGCTTCCTCGAAATGTACGGAGGGAAGTTACTCACTTGATCAAGTCCGCTATGTATCCTTCACACTTCTTGCCGGCCACAAGTTGCTCCAACCGAGCCACTTGGGTCGCAAACACCTGCCACCGAAGACAGTGGTAGACACAAGACACGCCAAAGGTTATGTTTACCGCTCGTTGTGGCGGGGCGAACGGGTGGGATAGACCAATGCATTCTCGCGGGGCCGTCATGTGGCGGCAACCCACGAGTGAATGCCATCGTACCTCCGGGGTAGCTGCATAAGCTGCGTTTCTGAAGCAACGCATCATGTCGGTCTTGTCGTCATTGTTAGCAGATGATGACGAGAAGTTCTTGAGGACGTTCTTGAAGACGTGCCACAACAGTGCAAATGCAGCGTCCCTGGCCAGCTAGAGGCTATTGCAGCCGTCATTGCAAGATCAGCGTCGGTCAAGATCACCTGTGGAAAAGGGTACATGTACTTTGTCAACGGATGGGATAGGCCATGGACGGCGCGGTTATGTCGACAGCCACTAGACAAGCTCTTCTGCGTCTGCAGTACATGCCTCAACAAATATAGACGTCTATTTGTTCCTATCGCGAAGCGACTTTTTATTGTACATCATCCTGACCTCGTTTCTACATGTACGCCATGAATGAGTGTTGTGAACATCGTAAGAGGGTCACCTTCGGCTTCGGCCCACCGGCAGCGGCCTCATATCTGTTCAGGATCCATTCGAACGTCTCCGTACACTCAAGACCGCAGAAGGCCCTGCCCCCAAAATGCAGCAGCGATTCTCGTCGTCGACGCCCACGACGAACAGAAGAGGGCACCCGTACCTACAGACAAACATCAGCCCGAGTTACATGACGCATTGATACTTCTCCTTGCAGCACCAAATACCCCGACCATAAACGACGAGCGTGGATTTTAAAGGGGCAACCATGAGCAGCGTAGCGTAACGAGCGGTCCCACATTTGCTGTGGAGACATGCAACCTGTCGAAGGGGGTATTGTGTGCACCTGTTCGTGAACACCGTTGTATCCAGCTGTATGTAGCCCCCAAATCTTGCAATCTGTTCTTGCTGTTGGACGGTAGCCCAAAACACATCCACCAATCGTCCCTGGGCATCCAGCGTGTGATCGCAGTACATGCCAGGTTCGCTTTTCGACCTCCCTCCTTGGCAAAGAAGGTCGCCACCGAATTCAACAAGCAGTCGCCGTTGCCCTCGCTCTCGAACGGAGTGCCCACGCCCCCACAATCTTCGGGTTCAATCCCGTTAAGGAGAGCCGCGGTGAACTTGACCTTAAACAGGCCCTTCGCCAGAAGCTCCTTTGCGGTCTGGACGGCAATCGAGGAGGATACATTACGGCCATAAATTATCGAGTTTATCGTCAATGTTGAGAAGATTACGATAATGAAGCTGATCATGAATTAATTATGAAACGGAGACCGTACATTTAAGTTCACCATTCTTACATTTACCCTGTCTACTCCCCGCATGAAACCAGCGACACATATATATGTATGGAGCACGAATGGCACAACAGAGCAAAGCAACATCTACCTACCAGATGGAATTAACCATGCTGCTACGAGCAGATCATAGTTCAATCTTTCCGATACGAGGCTGCTACCCCATCTCGATACAACAACGTCGTGCACATGTTTTGCAGTGCGGTTTTGCAGTCCGTTTGCGGTCCGTTTGCAGTCTGGTGAAAAAAACAAAAACCTTCGTCGATCATTGCGCCTGGAGCATCAATCATGGACCCGACCTTAAGCACACACCTGAGATGCATCTGGCAGCAGTTCGCCGTCAATGGGATCTTCCTGCTTGGACACCCACTCCGTCACCTTCTGCAGCCTCTCATCTTCGACAGGTATGCCGCTCGTGTCAGGAGAAGACGGGTGGAGGACAAAGTCTAGCATCCCACGGACCTTTGCCAGCGCCTAAAGCTGAGAGTTCGCCATGGATGTTGCCGGTGATATGCGCTTATAGATACGCTGGCGTATTGAATGGGCCCGGGTTCGGTGCTGATACGCTGGAGTGATCGCCCCACAGAAAACGATCCCAGCGACCGCAGGTTCGCAGGTTTTCTAGGTTTTCACCCATGCGGCCAAGCGGCGGGATTTTTGTACAGTCCCCCCCCTCCCCCTTGTGACGTGTGTCTAGCCTGCTGTGCTGCAGTGGTGCAGTGGTGCAGAGCTGCTGTGTGCGGTGTGCTGTGTGCTGTGTACTGTGTGATGTACGCGGTGTGTGCATGAACAGCACCCTCTAATCATGGCGCTTGTTCTTCGATTAGAGTCTTGTACGGCGAGATGCCGCTGGTGGGGTGTTTAGCCTTATCCACCCCACCGGTGGGGCATACACTATGCATTGCGTTGTTTGCCCCACCGGCCGTGGCACCACCAAACCTTTAGCGTTCGACCTCACCATGGATCCCACGATAGCCCTGCAAAGCAGCAATACATTCGAACATGTCTTGTGTTAATTGGAGTCTTGTAGGGCTACATACGGCAGTGGGGAAGTCTACCTGCAAGAGAATAGAAGGCAGTGTTCGCTACCCACTTCGGGTGTTTGGCGTCATGCGGCGGGATTTCTTGACCTGTTCAGCGCCCCAGGTGCTGCCCGCTGCTGTGCGCTGTGCGTGCATCGACCACACACTCCTACAGGTGGTTGTGTATCGATTGGAGCCTTGTAGAGGGAGATCCAGCTGGTGGGGTCAATAACGTTATCGACCCCACCAGTGGGGTAGCGGCGGTATATGCCCCACCAACCGTGGCACCACAAAAACTGTGCCGTTTCGGCCTCACGATGGGTCCAATGATAGCCCTGCAACGCAGCAGCACACCCGTGGAAGTCCTGAGCTGATTGGAGTCTTGTAGAGCGAGATACAGCCGGTGGGGTGTTTATGCCTTAACCACCCCACCGGTGGGGTGGTTAAGAAATTTCCCCACCGGTGGGGTGTTTAGCCGTGCCGTAATAGATTACCGTTCTTCGAGGGTCTATGACTCTTACGATTCCCATCGGCTGCGAAGAGTTGATGAATCTATAGGAGAATGGGAAAAGGGTCCACGAAGGCTCGCCCACTCTCCTCGCCACCCTAGCTGGACTGAGTTCGCTCGGTCACGCTTGGCATTCCTCGCCACATTGCACCAAAGGAAATAGCCAACCTCCGGTGGCAGGACATAGCCACCACACTCCCGGACTCTCTGCTCAGCCAGAGTAGAGGGCTTCCATATTGGCGTCGACGAAGAGATACGAACTCTCGCGGGCATAGCCCAACGGCTTAGCAAGCCGTTGTTACCTTATTAATAACCACTGGCCACGTCGACACTTTAGGCAGGTAGTACAATGCATGGTTGCTAGCAGTAGCAAGCGAGTGCAAGCGTTCCTCCTTGCTCAGTGTCTTGCCTGGGAGTGAGCGATAGCGAGCGACTGAGAGAGAAAGGAAGGATAAGGAAGGAAACAGACTGAAGAAGCGAAGCGTTCTGCACAAACTCCTCCTGTTGTTTTGGCAGTTCAGTCTCAGGGTGGCGGTGATGATCCGTTTTCCCGTGATTACAATGCATGGCCCGCCACACAGGGCGATTGGTCGAATGTGTACCAAGTCAGTTCCTCTTTCCGTAACACCGGTGATCCTTTTTTGTGGACTCCTCTCTTGACTCAGGACGCTCGCTCGCAAGCGTTTCGAGAGAACCGTAACCGTTGTTTGAACTGTTCTGGTGATGACCATTCCATGAAACACTGCCCAGCTCCTTTCACAAGTTCTAGCGGTCTGTTAAACCCAGAACTAGGCGAGCTGCAAGACAACTCTGACGTTTTCCGACGTTGGCAAGGCCGTATGAGGTCTTATCGTCGCAAGCCACACACCGGTTCAGGTGCTGGTGGCGGGCGTAACAAGCGTCACTCTTCGTCCTCGCGTAGAAATCACGCAGGCGACTACCGTAACAACGGTAACTCCCAGAATGATGGTCGCAATAATGGAAATTTTGCTCATAACTCGCGACAGCCGTCCACAGACAACACCCACCACACTGGTGGTCTGTCTACATACCGACCGCAATCGTCGGTCCAAACAGGCTCTCCTCCTGACGCTTCCGTCCCGTCCAACTACAATGCTAGACAGCCGGGAAATGTCCAATCTGGCGGTCAGAATGGCCACAATACTCGTGGTTCCAACTGACTCGTCGGTGGCGGTTCGTGTACCTCCCCCGATCCACCTTCGGCACCATCGGGACATATTGCACGTTCTTCACAGGATGTACGTGTATCAGGGATGGTGGAGCGAGGTGCTCCTGCCCTGCGAAACGCTGGTGCCCTTGCACCCGCTGTTTCTTCTTCATATTCGGTCAAGAGGGTTGGGAATGCACAAGACGATTCCGTTCCTCTTTCACGCTCCGACATTTCGCTTGCGACCTCTGCTACTTCGCCTCTTTCGATGGGTACTTCTTCGGGAAATGACTCTCCCGAGGCGAGTGCCGTCTTGAGGTGCGGGGACAGAGCGACCAGACGCGCGGGGCCACCGAGTGTAGTTCGGCAGCTCCCCCCGGTGTCTGCAGGTAAGACCGGCAAGAGCAACGCGCTTTATATGATTGAGGAGGATTCGTCAGAAGTGGTCAATTCTGATTCGTCTTCTGCTACGTGTGATTCGTCTGCGCTCGCTGCCGCCGTTGGTCCGCCAGCCGCCGCAGCACCGGTAGCGGTTTCGTCAGGTTCCGACCGACGATTCTCGCCCGGTGGGGCTAAGCAGACCCCACCAATTGCCAACGCGAACGATCGTGGTGCAAACCAGGAACATCCCGCGATCGACCTTGAGAGTGTTGACAGCACCGTCTCCAGAGGACGCTTCAGAGACGCCCGCCGTAAATACGGTATGCTCGCGATCCTTGTCACGGAGGACCGGTCAGGAGCACCTTGCACCGTCCAAAGTTGTATTGGCAGACAAAGCACTGGTGGCCGCTCCTAGCGAAAGCGATCTATATGCCCCCTGGTCCGGATCGGATGCGGGTACGGTAGAAGATCTAGAAACGGACTATACGAAGCGTGGCGCCCCCGTTTATCTCGGCGAATTCGGCAGTGTATTTGAATTCTCCGATGGACCCACCCCCTGATTTAGGCAGTTTAGCAATGGATGTCAATCCCTTTGCCCGTACCCCTGGCACCGGTCCATCTGCAGAAGATGTTGACCATAATGCTGCCCAGGCGTCTCCCACTTCAGGTCATTTAGCAGTTGACACACATCCTGCTCGTACTTCTAGTCATCGTCCGTCCTCGGAAGACGCTGGTTTCGATGCTACTCAGGAGTACTCCAATTCAGACGTGGTCCTATTTTGGAAATCCCCTTCTCCCTTCTGTCAATGGACCCCATCTACTTTTTTTGTCGTTGATGGTACTTCGTATGTGTGTGCAGAGCAATTTTTTGCTGCAGAGAAAGCTCGTCTTTTCGGCGCCGCGAATGTTTACAGAACATCATGAGAGTTTCCGACCCCGATCTACACAAGAAGTATGGTCGTGCGGTCCAGGGTTTCGACCAAACTCTCTGGGAGAAGGAGCACGAAAATATCGTGCTGACCGCCTCTTACACTAATCTTTCCCAAAACCCAGAGATGAGACTACACCTCCTTGGATCCGGAGACAAACTTTCAACAGAAGCCAGTCCTTATGACTGCATTTGGGGAATCGGTCTTTGTGCAGATCATCCGGACGCTTGCCGTCCGTCTCATTGGCGTGGTCTTAATCTGTTGGGTGTTGCTTTACAGAAAGTTCGCCAACTTTTACGATCAAACGCCCCACAGCCAGAACGTAGTTCTCGCTTAGCGGCTTCGGGTGAAACGCCCAGGCCAGATCGCCCTACCGTGTTCGAACTTAATCCTTCCACGCATCAGCGGCTGTCGACGGCGTCTGTGCCGTCGTCTTCGGAGCGTTTTGCGTCATTTTCGCAATACGCCACTAGTGTCCCGTCCGATCAGGGCAACAGCGTTTGGGCTGTGTCTCGGAACACTGACCATTCTGGTCCTCAGTCGCCTCTGCTTCCTGAGAAAGGTCCTAGTTTAGTCGGCGGTGTCATTACCGTTGACGATGACTCTTTCACTGCACGAACCCTCACCCATTGTGGCTCGGCTTCTACGCAATTTGGATGCGTGGCATTGCTGTACACCGGTGGTTCACCGCAGACTTTCGTCAGTTCTCGAACTTGGGAGTCCATGAAAGCCGCGGGTGAAGCTTCGTCGTTGTTTGAAACACGCACCCAACCTGGTTGTTGGGGAGGGGTTTGGTGAGTCCGCCCCCCTTCAAACGTCGACCATGGTCCGTTTAAGCGTGCAGTTTCTTCGACGAAAATTCCCGACCGATTCTCTCACCGTTTGGGCGTATGTTGTGCCTGACGGTGTTATGCAACATGATGTGTTGCTCGGCAGAGATAGTTGGATGCGGTTTAGCGACCGTTCCTACCGTGCCTTGCCCACACGACGCCCCAGTGATCGCGTTTTCGGGGAACAGACTTTAGCCCATAAGCAGGGTGGTGCTGAAGCTTTTGTGCATGATGTCACTGCTCGTGAGGGTAGTTTCCAGCTTAGATATGCTGGCCGACATCCAATTCAATTGCTGCCTGAACACCAACTTGTTCGTGTTGATGTAGTTCGCAGTGATGGGTCTCCTGCCCTTGTAAGCAATTATCTGGTAGATATGTTTGCTCAAACGTCCATGTTTTCTTCAGAAGAACATTTTGTTACTCATGGCCGCCAACGTGTGCCATTAGCGGGAGTTTCGAGTTTGGAACCGGGTGATGTCTTGGGTACCGCTTCAGCGCCCCTTTCTCAAGGTTCCTCTTAGTGCGTTTCCGTGTGATAACGACGGAGCTGGTCTTCCGGCCAGCGCCGTTCCACCCACTCCCGCTTCGGACACCTCGCAATCTGCCCAAACGGAT